CTTTAGAATACCTGAAGGGGATCCAGACATGAAAAATTGACTTATTATGAAATATAAAATTACGTTGTGGAAAATGATCAGAGTTCATCGGACTAATAAAATAAATATTAGATTTTGTTTCATGTACAGCTATACACAAATTTCGGTAGAAGTGCCATAATTAGGGAACAAAATTAACTGGACGTCGTTATTAATGTCATTTCTTTAAAATCAATTCTGGATTTTTTTTCTCATTAGATTTTGCATTCTACTAAAATCAGCTTGGTTTCTCGTGAACTGCTAGATAATAGTAGAGTTTAGTCCACTCTACAAAATTCTCTAAGAGACCATTCCTCGATTTCTGACAGAAAACGGGAAAAATTGTTTTTTTTCTCTAAAAGTACTGTTCGCTGAACTTTGGCTGGAGCGTTGTTATTAGGATGAAAAATTTTTCTGAGTGTCGTTATCAGGCAATCGATACTTAATAACGACAGTCGGGCTCTATCATTGTAGACCACTAATTTCTCCATGGTAACACAAAAGTAAAAGGAAACCTATATATCATTGGAAAGAGGAGAATTCAAGGATTCTCCAAATAATAAAAATATTTTTAATTGAATGTACAATTGCCGAGTACCAAACGAAACAAGATAAGACATAATTTTCCCGTTGCTATTAGGAAAATCCGCTCTACCATGAACAACCACAGTCACACCTGCTCAAATACCAACTCATCCTGTATTTATAATGTATAGGCAGAGGGATTTTAAGACTTTTTCAACTATAAAGGATATTTTTGATTTATTAAAAGTTGCCAAATTTTTGTTATTTGGCTTTTGCAAATGTCGTAATGTTCAAATATGAACACAGTGCAAGTTATCATGTGTTAGCAAATAACAGAAAAACTATCATTTATTCGAGTCTATGGAAGATCCCGTTTCATAGAGATCATTTTTTGTGATGTGAAAATGTTTCTAGTTCATATTCGCCCACATTTTGTACATTGTCATTTTCAAATTCTGTTAATTCATAATTCACAATACCTCCCATCACCGCACCCGTGTTGTAGATACTTCTTGCCCCGATATAAAACGTATATTTCCCAGTAGGTAGGAGGATATAGGCTACGCGTGTAATCTGTACCATTGGATCCGTAACACGATCCGTGTAACAAATACCACCAATGCTGTCTACGCCGTAGAGAGTTGCCCTGAGTCCGTAATTAATTCTGGTTGGTGTATTAGGCACTACTCTATTACCAATAATCAAATAATTGTCGACCAATATCTGAATAAATTGTGCCACACGTGCCCCATAATTACATCCATTGCCTTGAAAAGTAATTTTGAATAGAGTAGTTCGTGAAATAGAAAATCTTCTATGTAAATTTGGTACATTGATATAGTTATCACTGATGGGCACTTGAAACAGACCCGAACCTTGATATTTCAAGAAAATTTCATGAGATCTTATTTTTGTTGAAGACGACGACGAGCTAGATTTTTCATTGTTGTCAAAATGTGAAGCCCATGACAATATTTACACTAGAAAAATATCGAAATTTTTATTAGCGATGCGCTGGTTTTTATATTCAGCAAAGTACATGGAATCATCTCAGCTTTTCATAAAACAGATATGTTTCTAACTAATATTAATTGTTGATTGCTAAATAATCTTGGGGAGCATTCACACAATTTTCAACGGCATTCCCATATTTACAGTAGTTTTCAAAGCACTTTTAGAGAATTCACTAGAAAATGATGACTTTAGGTTGCAATGAGCAATTCGCTGCTTTTATGTGACAGTACAATTTTGGGTAAGTGGCAGTGGGCAAACATATGGAGAATACTGTCAACTTCATAATAGTAATAATGCCAAGCTTTCACTTTGACTCTCATTCTCACTTTTCTTTTCTCTGATTCGACGGAATGGGTGCTTGTAACTTTTAGATATAATATAGTGGCTTTCTTATCTTATATCCAACTAAAGATAAACAACCATCATTTACGTTAGATAGAAAGACAGTAGCTTACATAAAAGCATTACTACTGAGATCGTTTTGCTATAGATAATTAGAAAATATGAAATTGTACATCGCCTTAAAGCTAAAGTAGAAAAATAAATTTAACTTTTGACTTACACATGTCTACTGTTGAAAGAAAAATGAACCACAGTCGAACTATCATGATTGTCAATAAAAAATGTTCTATAATGCCATTTATCAAAACACTGATCAGTAGCTTTTTATTGGGCGGCAGTCACCACATTGGCTTCACTCCTTCATGTGGTAATAATCATTATAAGTTTCCTGATCAATACTTATCGACTATGCAGTCTTCTGTTAGAATTGAAAACATATTAGCAAAATCAGAGTATATCGTTCTCCTCAAAATATTGTAGTCATAAGTACCACTGTATAATTGATTGTTTCATGAAAAAATAATATTTAATTTATATATGCATGCATATTCAATTATGTTAAATAGATCCATGCTACTTAGATATCGATTTGTGTATGCTAATAACCACCTATTTTCTAAATGTATTTTATAGTTTGTTGAAATATTATTTCTTAACCTACTTCAGACATTTACGTGCACAAGAAGGAGAAGTCCTACAAATTCAGTCTCTTGTAATGATCCAGTTTGCAGAGATATCCGAACAATCGAAAATGCAATAAATTCATTCACTTCTATANTTTTTTAACTAATCCCTGAAATATATAAAAAAAACAAACATTTTATCGACAAGATGATATAATATACAACGACAAAATGTCTTTGGTCATTGTAATTGGATAATTAACATTTACTAGAAAATGCATCACTTGAAGACAATTTGAATCAAAGTTTTTCTTTCTTTTTTTTTTCGTCAAACTTTGTTTTCTTTTCAGACTTCGACAATGGATACTGCTTTTGTCACTTAAGAGTTTTGATCCAGTATCAATTATGAATAAAAAATAAAAAGCAAAGACAGTAGTATTTATCGTTAATGAGAAAAAAAATGAAAATTAAATAAAACATTATTGTTCATACACAGAACGAAGTTATTTTACTCTCAACTAATAAATTAAAAAAAGATCAGCAAATCTTTCTTTCTATACTGATTTTACTATTTTTTTAATGGCAGTAAGCAACCAAAAGAAAAAAAAAAAGGAATTGTTAAAATTATTTCTTTGTATTACTTTTTTCATGAACACCATCAAGAAAGATTCCATCAATTTCATCTTTGCAATAGGTTCTTCTTCATAAGATAAAAACAAATCTTCAATATGATATTGAAGCGAAATACTCTTGTAAAGTATATTTAGTATGTGAAATCAATGCACATTCAAAAACGCTACAACTGAACTGCTGGCAGAACCGACGAACTCGTCTGTGAATAATAATTTTATTGCTTTATAATAAAAAAGCAATAATAAACTTTTTTTTTTCTTTCTTTATGTATATTCAAGATGAAGAATCACTTTTTATCAGCTGTTTTTAGTTCAGTTATTTTTTTTTGCTTGGTTGCGTTTTTCTTTCAAAAATAAAAGCAACTGCAAAATGTAATGAATAATAAGCATATTTTTCTTTATATCTACGTAATTTGATTATTTTTTATTTAGATGAAACTGAAAAATACATTGATGAACACCCTAATATAAAACATTCGAATGAAAAAAAATGCATTTAAATTTAAGTGAATAAGTAAATGCACAGAGAAAAAATTCTTTTCTTTTTCTCTATTTTATTTTATTTTTTTTTTTTTTTTGAAACTTATTAATTTCATTTATTTTGTATTGGCTCACATACATACATCCATTAGATTCGAATTACTCTCAACGATACCCAAGTAACGACGACAATGGTACCTGCTGCCTAAATGCATCAAGGTAAAAAATATGGTGACAAGTGTAATCATTTGTTTTTTTTTGCACATTTTATGAGGACTATTGCAAAAAGACGAAGAAGAAGAAGATTGACACGAAACAATCAAATTTTTATTTCTTTCATATACATATAAACACAAACATTACAACATAACATAGCAATCGAATAAAGTGTCTCTTTCTTATAATACGCATTCATGAACTATGGCACTACGATTCGGTATGTGTTTCTATTAAATTAATAGTAGGGAATTCAATTTGATGATTTATATCATATATCGGTTTTTCATGAGACTTGACATATTTAATCGTTTATCTAATAAAAATTTCCTCGTTCGTTTTTTTTTTATTGAATCAATTAAATTGTATTTATATGAAGGTGTTTAAAATGATGCAAAAAATTTACAAGAAAATAATAGCAAATGAATGACCGTCACGTTCTGAGGGAGCACATGCATGTCTTAGCGAAAGAGAGTTACTGTGATTATTTGAAAAATAAAATAAAATAAAAGAATGGAAGAATAGACATAAGGCGAAGAGAAGAATAAATGTATGTATAGAGAAACACAGCTTGTTGTTGTTCTTTTCGCGTCGTCATTGCTGACTCTATTATTAAATAATGAAAAAAGGGCAAACGACAGTGGAATTGATACAATACTTTTCAAAGAGTATTGTTTAAAAATTTCGTTTGATTTTATTGTTTGTTTTTGTTTTTTTTTTTCTTTGTCCCTCTCTTCTCCTTGTGTTTTTTTTTCACTTTCATCGCTAGTACACCATCCTCTTGAAAAACTGTTACATGTTTGTATTTTACTCATCATTTTTTATTAGTGGTTAATTGATCTTATTTCTATTAATTAATACTAAAATATTCTAATGCGAAAATGCTGTAAGTATTAATCGAAATCTTTGCAGCTTATCTCTTAGAAAACTTCTGTTTTGTCTTTGTAGCACAGTTGATTAATTGTGTCTTTCTAAAAACAACAGAGAAAATTAGAAGGTTTCTTAGTTGAAAAACAGGAATAGAAAGGATATATTGTCTCGTTGCTGCCTACCGTCTGCTGACATCATCAATACATGCGTTTGTCTACTATTGGTTTTTTTTTCTATCTTGTCTAGTAAATTAACTCAACCCCACCTTTCCATAAACAATATGTTTCCACCGATCAATGCTCATCCGAGGCCTCCGTCAGAAGATTTACATGGTGTTAGCAGCGGTGGGGTAACAGACATTCATTCGGCTTCAAAACAGCAACAAATTCGACGACAGCAGCTGACAACGGATCAGCAGCGACGAAGTCCAGTGCGAAGTAATTCGTTGCTGATAACAACAGCAAAAGCAACAAATAGATATGTTACGACAGCAACTGCTGTTGCTGTTTCAATGTCTTCATCTCTTGTTCGATCATTAACATTTTGTTGCAAAATGAACTTTCAGTACAATTTGAATCAGTTAAAAGTAAATTAGATAATTACAAAAAAACAACGAAAAGTGCAAGAACAACAAAAACAACAGCAACAGCAGTTCTTTCTAAACACATCTATTAATGATCTATTTTCTTTCAGTACAACTAACTAAAGCATGTTCTTGATTAATACTATACAAAAACAAAAATATATTTTAGAAAACAAACACAAGAAAAATAATTTGTTTGTTTTTTCTTTTCATTTTAGTCATTTATCGCTCAAGTGATTATTCCTGGAATGATCATTCGAATAATGCAAATGTTTCTAATCAACCATTACGTGCTGCTAGTCCAATAAAAGCAAAATTCTCAACATCGGCTCGTCAATTAGCTAATGGAATTTTACATGAAGCGACAAATAATTCAAATGCTCATCCTTCAACATCAACATCACCAACAGGTCATCAACAAAATATAAAAGATGATATAAATAATGGAGATTTACATTTATCATCTGCAACAAAATCTCTTCGTACAACACGACTTCAACGTACAAATAGCCATTTAGATAAAGCTCCGGGACTAAATGGTTATGGTTTACCTATGCGAAGTGAAAGTTATCGTTCATCTCGTCTTGATTATGGTATACGTTCACGTCATACATCATCAAAACAACGAACTTATGTTAATTCTAAAACTTCATTTCATGATGCAAATGGTGGAGATATTCATTTAAATGGTGCACCAGATGAAAATACATATTATCAACAACAACAACAACAACAACAAATGAATATGATGAGTAGTACACAGCGTATAAATGGTTCAACATTTGATTTAACTGCTAATCGTAAACTACTTTCACCAAATAAGTCCAATACATTTAATTATCCCGCTAATGGAACAGGTCATCATAATTATTATAATTCAGCACAAGAACTTCATCGTAGTGAAACAAACATTGATCGAAATAATTTAACACGATTTGCTGCACGTGGTACAGCATCAAAAGAACAACTTATAACAGCACAAAAATTTCGACAAACATCAAGTATATTAACAGCAACAACACCAGCAGCAGGAACAACAACAACAACATCAAATACTCCAGCTTTTATACAACCAGGTGAAAGACATCCATCGGCTCAATCATATAAATCTCGTGATCCAAATATGTCCTACGCATATACAGATGTAAAAAAATATATTGAAGAAAATGATTTAATGTCACCAGAAAAAGAACAAATTATACGAAACTGGATTGTTGATGTTGAAAAACATCGACATCAATTACAAAAAATAGACTGAACATAGTTTATTTATTTATTTATTTATTTTCGTTTATTTTCTTTTATAAATCCAGTTTTGTTCTAGCCCATCGAGTCTTTCGTGTGACGTTAATTTTTTTTTTATTATATGCGTATATATAAATACAATAAAAGAAATGATTATCTTCAAGATTGGGATTTAATTGTCTCGATCTATCGATCGATCGATCGATCGAGAATAGAAAGAGCTAAGACACGTCAAATAGTCGTGTCTATTCTTCTTCCCGACTCGTTGAATAGCAATTAATTTAACATTGCTATCATTTTCGTTCGTGAGTTTGTGTGTATAGATGTATATGTGGACATTGGTATCTACTTTCTCTTTCTTTTCGTGTCGCTCTTCGATCCTCAAGTAAATATTAGCTGTCTTATACGTCGCGCCTCAATATCAGTTACTGTTGCAATAGCAAGAATCATTTGACAATAGTAAGAATGATGATTCGACTCAGTGTATTTCTTACATTTATGGTTATACGTATTCATGCTGTTGTCGATCCTGTTGTAACAAATGTTGATCCAAAACATGAATTACTTACGGAAATAGCTGGCAGGTATGTAGAAAAAATTCTCTAACAAATCAAATTCGAACGTTCTAACTTTCGTTGCTATTACAATCAACATTAAAATTTATATTGCAATAAATTGTTTTTTTTTTATTGATTTTCAAAATGTCTTCTCCGATTTCATACAGATATTGAATAGAAAAAAAAAAAAGTACAATAGAAATGTACATATTTGTATATGGTTCTCAATGACCGTGATAGATTGAATAGGATCATTCAAAAAATAGTTAAACATGCATACTGTCCTCTCATTTTTCTTTGTTCAATGAGATTTATTCAGAATGTATAGAATTTTATAATGATTTAGAAAGCGAAGGACAAACATACATGAACATAAAGAGTATCAGATTTTGATGTTTAATGAAATATTCTATAATACTATTTATGAGAAAAGTACTCGATTAATTTGTTCAGATTATTTTAGAAATCTTTTCGAACAAGAGACATGCAGAATCATGACGACGGAAAAAGAGAAATTGCTAATAAGAGGACTACAAGAAAAAAAAACGTTGTCTTAACCGAAACTATTGATTACAGTTAAATATTCTATGGCTGTAAGCGAATAATCTTCTAAATCATCCATGAGAAAATAATTTAAGAGCAATGGCCTAAAAAAAAATTTACTCATCAACTAAATGACTATCGAAAAATTTTAGAATAGTTTTCTATATATTGGCAACATGACTAGGTTCTTTGGAAGTAATGTTCAATATGAATCCAAATCAACAATTTTCATACACTTGACAATCTTTGTACTGATTACAGTGATATCTAAAATTGCATATAAATAAATCAATACGAGATAAATCAAACAAATCAATTTGTCTAAAAGTATCTTTGATATCTATTAGGAACAACTTTGTGGACAGTTTATATAAAAATTCATTCAAAATTCTAGGAATCTGATTATTTATTCGTTTACAACATAATATTTATTGAGATAAAATATCAATTTATATTCTTTAGATATCGCTTAGCAGCTCGACATTTACGTGAAACTCAATCGACATTACCATTTGAATTACAATTTCCTGTTCATGATATAATTAAAGTTGATGGTGCAACAAATGAACTTGTCATTCGAGCAACAATTCGTTTAGATTATCAATTTGAATTTCTTCATTGGGATTCTAATGATACACGAAGTCGTTATCATGATATTGATGAAATTATTTTAACAAAATCAACATTACAATCTCTTTGGTTACCAGATTTACGATTTATTGATGAAGATTCAATTTCATTTAATATTGAACGTGAATCAGCTAAAATAAATCGTGATGGTCTTGTAACATGGACACGTCGTGGTTTATTAACTATAGCATCTCCTATTGATTTAACTTATTATCCATTTGATCGTCAATACTTTCATATAAATATGCAACATAGTCAAAAAAGTTTTAAATTACATTATCAAAAAAATATTCATAGTTTATCATCAACAACAAATTCTCATTTAGCACGTTCAGCTAGTGTATGGACAGCATTATTTGGTAATACAGAATTAAATACAAATATAACAAATATACCAATAAATATTCAACAAAATGATCAACCTATAAAAACAAGTACATCACGTGGTTGGTTTGTACGAACAATTGGTATTGAACCAAAAATAAATTCAAATGATAATGGAAGTTTAGATAATATAACAATATATTTATCAATTCAACGTCGTCGTGAATCTCATATATATACAATTATATTACCAACATTATTTTTTTCATTTTTTATTTTTATTTTCTATTTTGCACCTGTTGAAGCACATCAACGTTTAATTATTGGTTTATTAAATACATTTGCAACATTGATTTTTCTTATTTATATGGATCAAAAAATTTTAGCTGAACAATTATCACATAGTCCATTATTAATACAATATTTAACAATATTATTTATGATTGAAGCATTATCATTATTTTTTGATCATATTATACATTCAATATTTTATGGTGGAATTAATTTTGTATCAAATTGGTTACGTAAAAGACATAAATATGATACACAACAACAACAACCAGCACGTTTATCACGTGTAACTATGTTAACACGTGCATTAAATAATCGTTTAAATCCAAATAGTTTAGAAAATGATGGACAATTAAATGGTCCAACGGATATATTAATGAAACAATTAATTGAACGTGAAGAATCATTAAAATTTGAAGATCAAGAACGTTATCAATGGCGTAAACGAGCACGACTTAGTGAATGTTTATGTTGTTGGTTTTTCTTAGCTATTGTTATTGCCGCAGCTATATGCATTTTTCTTATTGTACCATCATTGGGTTTGAAAAAATAACTTTAAAAAAAAACAAACAGACATTTTTAAAACTACGATTTCATTTTTATTTGTATGTTTATTGGAATAATAAATATATCGAAAATGGGTGTTTTACCTTAATGTATAAAAAAAGTGTTGTATTTTTTTCTGAGATTGATCTATTCATTTCATTCAAATTAAACAGTTTTAATATTACTGATGTGGCATCGATCGGCGGCAGAAGGTTGAAAGCTCCGATGAGAGTAGAGTTGATCGAGTTGGGTCAGAATTTGAAAGTTTTCTCTTATCCAAGTCCAAAAATTTTAGGAAAGAATAAAAAAAGAATGAAAGTAGATGGTAAAAATAGTAGCAGCTTAAAAGATAATTTAACAAAAAGTGTTAACATTTTATGCCCTATGATATAGTTTTTTCTTCATGCTCAATTCTTTACTCTATAATGAGTTGGAACTTCTGTCCCTATTGAAATCAGATTATGCTTAATTCTACAGAGAGAAAGATGAACCTTTCTCATGAATATTGGATGTGGGTATGGATGCCAGTGAAGAGAAGTTCCACATCCGACGTATAGTTATTTCTTAATTGTTTTTCACTTTCTCATTACTCTATGCTTGATAAATTAAAAATTTTCGCTTAGTTGAAAAGAATATTATATTAACAACGAAGAAAATTGAATAGTTAATTGACAAACAAAACTTGTCATTGAAAACCGCCAGGGTGTGGGTGTAAATATTAATTTAAAAAAGAAAACATCCACACTCGCATCCTACTTTTTTTTATTTTGAAACATTTTGTTAACATCTGCTAATAGCATCAGCCAATATAAGGATGTGGGTATTTTCTTCTTTATGTTGGCACTCATACCCTCAAAAAAAAAAAAAAAAAAAGGTGCTGTTCTTTTTTATTATTTTCCTCATCAAAATATATGTGAGCCACGGGCGACTCACATCGCCTTAACTGTGTTAACTAAACAGTAAAAATATGTAGATATGATGACATTACGTTCTATGATTGATGGGAATCCTGCGCAAATAAAACTACTAGACTGATGAAAAAAAAAGAAAAAATGGCACTTTGAACTGGAAAGTTCAAGGGGATTACGGTTAGTAGACAAGAAAATGGCACGCTTCTTGAATTCATTATTTAATTTATTAGTTTTATCAAAATGTCGAGAAAAAAAAACTCTGACAAGTTCCTGATACAGATAGCATTTTACAAACATCTCTGCACAGATAAGTCGTATATTCTTAACTTTCTTCTAGGAGGAACGCCATGATATTCTCTACAACAATGATAATGAGAAATCCTGTTGAGTTACTTCAATAAAGCACTGTATGATAGTGAAATATTCCATTATTTTGAGAGAAAGAAAAATGAAAATAATATTGATTATTTTACATACATGTCGACAGTAACAGATCATAAAATGTTAAATGGTTACTTTTAATTTACGTCATGGAATCTCTACTATCTTTCCTTTAACAGGGTCTTTGAATTATGCTGATGAAATTTATAGATGAACAAAATGTAAAGATCTTCTTCATATCTTTATTGCCCATTCAAAAAATATGAGGAAAAAACCTTCAGAAATCTCAAGTATATTGGCTACTAAAGGTGCATTTTGTTACAGTTCATCGTTGGATGCAGCGATTTAATCAAAGTGGGTCGGTTGATGCACACAAATCAACTGTAAAGAGGTGAAATAGAGAAACTAAAATATTAATTATTTGAGATTTATGAAAGTTTTTTTTCGCTTCTTTTTATAATGGGTAATAAAGATATCAAGAAGATCTTTACATTTTGTTCATCTAAAAAATTCATCAGCACAATTCAAAGATCCTATTATTGGAAAGACAGTAGGGATTCCATGACGTATATAAAAAGTAACAGTTTAAGATTTTATGATTTGTTAATGTCGGCATATATGTAAAATAATGGGATATTTCACTATCATACAGTGCCTCACTTTTAGCCTTATAAAAAAAAGTCATTGAAGAAACTGAATAGAATTTCTCATTATCATTGTTGTAGAGAATTTCACGGCGCATCTTTAAAAAAAATTAAGTCATACGATTTATCTGTGCAGAGATATTTACAAAATACTAAATGTCACAATCATTATGCCTCACTTCGCATATGCAGTAGCTGTCAACATTTTCCCACTAGTAGACGATTTTATTTTGTTTTGTGTATATCTCAAAAAAATACTAGATTAGCAAAAATAATCTGATTTTCGTCAGATTACAGTACATAGTCTCTAGTATATTAGTTCCAAAATGATCCAACCACTTTTTTTTTCTAAACGATTGCGCGCCGGTTCTTAATTCAAATTTCTTTTATCACATATGATTTAACAGAGCAAACAATGCTCCAGGTCAGAAACAATTATTATCATGGTTTTTCCCTGAGTGAAAGTCAAAAACTAATTTTGTTTTTACCCATAACGAAGCTTGTGGATGCGGATGTGACAAAAAACTTTTTTTAAAATGATATTTAGCTACTTTTATTTCTCACTTTATCATTAGTAAGAGCCCTACAAATTATATGAAATATTCTATTTGAATAGAATATCATGTTGGAAAGTTGTGTTGGTCATCGCCTATGTATACATCAATCACAGATGAACTATCTTGTACCATCTCATTCACATATTTAAAGTAGGTATAAAAAATTGTTTTAAAATCATTAATTTGTAAGAAAGCTTTTTCCGTACGAAACTCTCTAGATACCTTTGTTGCATTATAAATAGCGGAAGTAAATAGCTTACACTAGTTCCAGCAACAGAATGGATATGTATCAAATGAAAGTTAAGATAGCATGTTATTTCTAAATGTCATGCGCTAGTCGCATATGCACGATATGCAAAAATTAGTCATGTATTCCATAATATCTATACCTAAACTGTTGCTTGAATTATGCTAAACTTTATGCTCTTGCAATACAAAATGTAACAAGGATATATAACTTAAGCCCCCCCCCCCTCCCTCAGAAACGATTTTCCACTTTTGACGGTTCTTTCATGCTGACATTTTCAGGGATGACTGATCTTGGAGAGATACGCTTCTGGTAAAAATTTCAGCTCGATTAGTCGTACTAGACCGCATTTCCAGCTGATTCATGGGTCATTTTTGGCCTTCAGGAAAATCGGTATAACTCCGTCATAAGAAAAGCTAGAGAGCTCGGGCTGGTTTCAAATTAAAGTACATGTCAGTCCGCAATTTTTGTCCCAACAGAATTTTGATATTCCGTCCTATTCATTTTTTAGGAGCATTTTAGTGCGAGGGTCTTAAAATTAGCAGAAAAAATGGTAGTCCAACGACAGTAAATTCCACTTTTCTCAGCCCAGGAACCAACTTTCAAAAATCCGTTCGGACAAAAGTTTATCCTAATCGAGAGCTTTAAAACAAACAAAAATATTGAATAATACCCAGGGCCGGGACGGAGTGATTTTTCCTGTTAAGAAACCGTATTCTGAGAAAAGCGCCAAAGAAGTTTTAGAAATGGAGTTTTCATTCAAATGCAGGAAATAATGGTATATTGATAATATTTATGTGGAATTTTTGAAAGCACGCAATGGATGGCGTAAGCTAGCACTACAGGTCGTACTATATGATATAAGAATGTTTATTCCATGATGATAGAAGTAAAAAAAGTAGTCTTCCCAAAAATAACAGAAACCGCGAAAATCTCTCCAAAAACCGGGTACTGAGGTGGAAATCTCCGGCGAAGGTCTATAAAAATTTGATCTTTTTTTAAAAATTTATATATATTCTGAAAGAGGAAACTTCGCTGCATCTTCCTATGATTAAAACTCGACTTCGATTACTTTTCCAAAACATGGATTTTCTGAGGGGGTGGGGGCCTTAAGTGTCAATAGGTTCAATATTTATCTGAATTTGTTTTTGGTTTTATGCATCAACTAGTTGGAAAACTTCAGTTACAAATGAAACGAATATTATATTCAGAATCAGTGCAAAAAAAGGGCACCAAACAGTATATACAGAACTAAAAAAGATTGATAAATAGTATTGTACATATTATTTGATGCCATTTTTTGTGCTTGAAACTGAAGTTTGTGACGGTCAAAATCTTAAAATACAAGTTGATATGTATGATGTTTTGCTAACATATCGAAAAATCGGTTTTCTCAACAATATTTTTCAAAAACCATGCAACTATTTTTTTCCTAACTATATGATAAGTAAAACCGAAAAAAAAAAGATTCAGATAATTAGTGAAACTACTAAGAGTTGATATTTTTGGTATATTTCAATATTAGTCTTTTCTAATTTCTTCTTAGTCTACTGTTCACTACAAAAACATTATCTGAATACGTAAAAAACAATATCATTAAAAGTAGCTCGACGAGCTCTATTTTACCACAAGAAAAAGTTTGATTATTCATATATGAATCTTTTTGTTTTTGTTTTATTCAATAGGCCCTTAGTGAAATTCCTGAAATTGTTAGAACAGGTGTATGGGTTGGTGATTGTTTTATGTATACAAATTCTCTTAATCGTATAAATTATTATGTTGGTGGCGAAATTGTAACAATATCACATTTAGATAGGTAATATAAAAGAGAATTTTCTTTTATTGAAATTGAATTTAAATTAATCTATTTTAGAGTAATGTATTTATTAGGTTATGTTTCGAATGAAAATCGTCTATATTTGGGTGATAAAGAAATGTCTATTGTTTCATTTGAATTATCCTTAGCTGTACTTGAATATCAAACAGCTGTTATGCGTAAAGATTTTGAAACAGCAGATCAAGTTCTTCCAACAATAGCAAAAGAGCAACGAACACGTGTTGCACATTTTCTTGAAAAACAAGTTTGTTTTAAAAGTTTTTTTTTTTCAATCCAAAACTAAAACAAAATCTTATTTTTCTTCTCTTCTCATTAGGGTTATCGTCAACAAGCATTGGCTGTTACATTGGATAATGAACATAAATTTGATTTAGCACTTCAATTAGGAAATTTATCAGTTTGTTATGAACTTGCACTTGAAATGGAAAATGAACAAAAATGGTTACAATTATCTGAACTTGCAACAAAATGTGGAGATTTTAATTTAGTACAAGAATGTTTAACACGTGCACAAGCATTTGGTTCACTTATATTATTAGCAAGTGCATCAAGTAATAAAGAATTAATGTCAACAATTGGTGAACATTCAAGAAAAAATGGACAATTTAATATAGCTTTTCTATCAAATTTTGTTTTGGGAAAATTAGATCAATGTTTAGATATACTTATTGAAAATCAACGTTTACCTGAAGCAGCTTTTTTTGTTCGAACATATTTACCATCACAAATAGGTCGTATTGTAGGTTTATGGAGAGAAAAATTAAAACAAATGAATATGGAACGTTCGGCACAAGCATTAGCAAATCCAACTGATTATGAAAATCTTTTTCCAGGTCTTATTGATACATATAAAACAGAACAATATTTAAAACAAGAAATTAAAACAAATTTAGCTCGTGATTATCCATCAATTACAGTAAGAAAACTTGTACGATTGTTTTAATCTTTTCTAATTTATTTAATTAACTTTTAGCCAAGTTGGGATCGAAATCCTATTGCTGAAATGAAAGAAGCAGAAGAAAATGAGCAGTTTTCCTATCATCCAGTGCAATCAAACAAAGGTATAACAGATGAAGATGAAGATGAGAATTTTTCTGATGCAAATGAATCACCAAAACAAGTAGCATCATCGCAAATCAAACAAGCATCTGTTGTTCCTCCTCCGACAACAACAAATAAAGTAATTAAACAAAAAAAAAGAAATATAATTTTTATTTATTAATTTTGTTTTTAGTCAAGCACCGAATCATCGGTATTAAATAAATTAATTCCAACTGTTGATACATCATCAGCAGCTTCAACCGATCGTGCTCGTTCTCAATCTCCAATGAATAATACAACTGTTCCAACAACAACAAAAAAAGATTCAACTCCTCCACCATCGTCTATTAAACCAACAACAACAACAACAACTTCATCAACTATTCCTCAAGCATCAACAATATCCAAAGCAGTAACTGATATTAAATCAGCTGTTACTGGTCGCAAAACATCATTAAGCGATCTTGAAAAAGAACTTCAAGAATTCGATATAGACCTCGATAAAGATGATGTAAGCGACGTTGAAATTGGACAATCGACAGGAGTTCATAAAAAATACACAGACGAGGATGAGGTAAAAGCGTTAAAGTAGAGACATTGTTCGCAGTAGCAAAAAAAAGTTACACTTAACACATCTATTGCACGTTAGTTAATAAAGCATGCACTACATTCTTTTATTATATTTATTTTGGGGTATAGATATAGCATGATAACATTAATAAAGTTCTTATTGTTTTTACTAGATTCTAATTATATCATTTTTTTGTAATTTAGGATCTTCAATTTGATGATGATGATGTCGATGAATTTCTCAAAGATACTTGAATTCAATTGAATGTCATCATGTGATATAGATGTAACAAGTTGTCTAACGTATTCCATGCGTACACAAAAGCACAAAAATAACTCTATATCTTTATTTCTTTTTTCTTTTCGCTTTTTTTTTCTTCTTTGTAACTTATCGTCAATACTATTGTTTTTACCAACGTTGTTGTTTCTCTCTCTTTTTTTAGCACTATATAGAAACATATGGTTATTACTTTTTTCTGTCTTGATTTACTCGATCTGAAATAAGCAAAAAAAAAATACATACGTATATTTAACACGAATTGCTCTATTTAAGTTTTTTCTCTTCTTCTTCTTTTTATTCTACGAAACATGAGTCTAATTCAAGTTTTTCTTTCTCTCTTTTTTTTCTTTGTTCATTTCATTTTTGTTATTATTTAAAAAAAAGCCGTACGTGTTTGTCTGTATGGGTGTTTGACGATTTGCTAAAGATGATAATTCTTTGATATGATTCTTTAAATGAGCAACAAGTGACATCTGGTCAAAAAACAAAACACTGCAGATTGGTGATAGAAAATTTTCTTTGTTGTTTCAAGTTTTTTTATTTCAATAATCAGTTAGATAGAAATCAATGTATGTAATACAAATAGTCTTTTTCATTTTATTTATTATATCAACAGATAGTATTAATAATAATTTATTATCTAATGATGTTCATCCATGTTTATCTCGATCAATGGAACGAATATTTCTTGAATATGAACAAGAAAAATTCGATTGTTCATCACTATCATCACAAATTCAAATAACACTTGCTATTCATTTTACATTTTGTCATTTAAATTCAACTGGTATTAATCCTAAAACAATATGTTCTTTAACATCATTTGATAGAAATATAAATGAATGTTTGAAAAATATAACAAAAAATTCATTTGCTTATTTAACTTATACAAATTTTATTCCACATATACAAAGTATTTGTTATGCAATTGAAACACAACAATGGCATAATCATGTACGAAATACTGTTTTACAAATAAATATACATTCAAATCAAATTGAAACTGAAACAAAACAGTTATTAATTGAACAAGAAACAATGCAAGCTAGTCTTGATCAAGCACTTACTATAAATCAACATTCTATTGATGATGCGCTTAATGTTGATCGATTTCTTCAAGTAGCACAGACAGATGTAGACGAATTACAAGGAGATTTATATGTTAAAGATAAAGCACAAATTGAACTTATACAACAAGTAATAAGAATATAAGATGATTTATTCTAGTTTTTTGTACTATCGTTCATTTAGATATTAGAAATACTTTTTAATATTCAAACATCATTATTTACGGATGCTTTTGGTTTAAGTTCATATTTTTTCTATGCAATATCACTTGTTGGTATTCATATATTGACAATACCTGAACGAACAAATGATTCAAAGTAGTTTAAAAGAAAGAAATCAGATTGCAGTGCTTACAACTTTTGTATCTTAGATTTTGGTTAATACTTTTATGGCTTTGTTTGGTTGGTATAGAACGTTATATGCTTATTTTTTCTTCATATTCTCAAGTAATAAAAAATACTCATATCGTATTATTTTTGTTATGGAAAAGAAAAACACTTTTAGATGCTTCTCTATGATATATTATGGCGTTTTCGTCAATTATGGTTTTTTGTCTCTTGTGTCACATTAACTTATCATGCCGTACGATATAGAAATTATTATAAAGAAAATCAAAAATTAATTGATGAGATTAATCGTAAGCATAAAAAACTTGAAATCGCTGCTAGAAAATGTAAGATTTTGGAATAAAAAAATTATCTAATCATTAGTTTTATTTTCTCGGTAACCAGGTTTACATGTTATCAATCAATTAGATATGACTAATGGTATGTATAGATATTATGCTACATTTTGATGATATGTTGTCTTTTTTGTTTTTGATATGGTAGGTTCTATCTCTGATGATGCGTCTACATCAAGTTCTTTAACTGATGATGAAGAAAGATAAAATATTTGATTATAATTTATGTAATTTTTTTTTCTTATTAAAGTTATACATGTTACAGTCACTTTTTTGTTACATAAAATAAACTAGGAAATAATTAGGTATCATAATATGTCGAAAAAATTAATAACGATTTTTTTCTACCTGTAATCAATAATAAACTCTCTGCCATTCTGATTGTTATAAATATATAGTATATTGTCAGAGAGGTTAAAATAATTTAATTAAAAAAAATGTCAAAATGAATAAATTAAAATTGTAAAACTTTTTTAATTGATAGACCCGCTCTGAAATTTTATCATTTCGAAAATGTTGGCATTTAGAATATTTATTAGACGCATTTAACATCATTATACTGTAAAAGCTTCTTTTTATTGTCAGCTACGTCTTCAATACATAACTTCTTTTCTTCTAGTAATAATATATACGATACATGCCCTAGGAAGCGGTAAATATCATTTTATTCTTCGTTTCGTCGGTTCAACGACTATATTAGCCTGCTATGAATCAGTTGTTCGCAGTGACAAAGTCTGATAAATCTGCTTTCGTCTTGGCCAAATGTGACAGACGGACATTTTTTTCAAAAATCATCTCAAGTATCTCATGATAAAGATTATTTCACTTAGAGTTATTATTAAGTTACTTCTCTGTTCTATAAAATTTTCAATTTCTTTAGCTGAAAAGAGATGTTCTCAAATTTGATCGAGATTTCAGACAGAAATTTTTCATAGATGAAAGTTCTTTCGCATACTTCGATGAGAAAGGTAATGGTACAATAGCATACTCTTGAATTAAGAATAACCAGAAATACGTAGTAGTACTTCTAGTTACCTTTAGGTATCTCGATCCTCATACTCCTGTGTACACGTTCGTGCTCCTGAACACTCTCTCGTACTATTGCATACCTCAGTCTATTATGAACAAGAAAGATCTCAAAATGATTCCGATGAAAACATTTAGTGCATATTAATTATTATATAGTGGATTCTAATATTCATTGTAATTTATTCTATCTCGTCAATTGGGAATGTAACACTTTCTCATCATTCAATTAAATTTATATAACTTTTGTCACATATGCTGTGTGGTTGATACTCGAGAGTGATCTTTTAATTCATTCAAAGTTCTAAAATTCAAACAAAGCTGATCTCATATTCTTATTTTAAGTATTGGCTGGTAGCGGCGGAGTTGCTATCACAAATGTACACCATCTGTTACTCGATAATATACAAAAAGAATACGATCAGATCATTTCGACATCACTAACTTCTGAAATGATGATGATCATGAATCATAATAACCAATACGATGAATACGAACATATGTATCATATTGAACCAATTGAGTCATCGTTATTACAGAAATGAAACTCAATCAGACGTTGACAATCCTGTACAAATATATGCATTTCTTTCATCTTTCACTGCTGTCTTTTTTCTATTATGTTACAGAACATAATCGTTGTTTAATTCATTCTTCTCTGATCAATAGTAAGATTTTCATATTGGCATACACATACTTACATTTGACATGACTACTACTTCTTGAAGTGTCAATAATAAGAACAGTATTGCTTCGCGTACACATGTAAAATGGAACTCAATGTCGACTGAAGATCAGACAAAGATGGAATGGATGTGGGTGTTAGGGTGGGGCGTGGATGTACGTAAATCAATTAAAAACAGACCGACCTATCTCTCAAGAAAAAGACAAGTTCAATCTGCTATTCTTAACTCGTGCTTTTCAGCAATCGACCTAGTCGAAAATCAAATCAAAACTGAATAATAATGAAGAAAGAAATGTGTTTTGATTAAAACAATTGAAAAGAAATGCAGATTTAATTTCGTCAACGCGTTTCGTGTTATTTATTGATATGTTGAAATACTCATCAGGGCCCTGCATTACAAATAAAAATTAAAAAAAAAATAAAAAACAAAAAACGAATATCAAAAAAGATGTAGATGGGTGTGGGGGTGTATAGCTACTACGATACCATAGGTATTTCGGTCTTACGTAGGATATCTTATCAGCCGATTCGAGTATTTCTTATCGCGATTCGATTCTGAATGGATTCCAATCTCGTTCTCATGGTTTCCAAGTGTAACTCGATGAGCTCTATCGATTCCAGGTGTCTATCTTATCACAAGATCCTTCATTACCCCCAAAATGCCCGAAAACCTGCAAAAAATGCTAAAATTACCAGAAATACCATGGCCGATTCGCTTCCAAGCCGATCCCAATGGAATTGATGATGATTCTAGATAGATTTCAACTCGCTCTATCGATTACACACCTCATTCATGAATTTGGATTGTGTCTGTGCTTAAAAAGTTGCGAATCAGTTGATTGTTGGTAACCAATGATGTTTAAAAACGAAAGTTGTTGCACTTTGCAGGTTTGTATGTTATTATTAGGGAAACAAAGAATGATTACAATGTAGAGCAGAATTTTGATGGAATTTATCTCAAAGGAAATAAAATTAATAAGTGAAAATTGTACTACAAAAGAAAATATTTTTTTTCGCTTTCTTAAATCTTGAACGATAAAATTAGTATTATAGAAATTAGAGAGATGATCAATTTCGTAAAGAATTTATGATTATTATTTCCATACCAAAATATATTTGATATGTTGCTAATTGAATTACATTACATTTTGAATAATGAATTGTATATATAAGATTAGTCCTCTTTCGACGGGTCAGATATTCATCTAAACGCATCCTGTGACAATGGCTTTTATCTTTGAAATAAAAAATTGTTAAAACAAAATCTGATATCATAAAGAAAAAATAAAATGTGAAAGAAAAGACGTTGTTTTTTCGATACGATCATCTACAAGATTGTATCATCCTTTGCTTTTCATCATCTAAGTGGTGTAGCTGATTGGATAGACGAAAAGATATTATATGAAAAAGTTATTTTTCTCGCCGGATGTCGTCAAATGAATTTTTTTTTCTATATGACGATACTGTAATATCTATTAGTCGGTTTGAAATATTCTCTAATAGTGAAGAAAAAAATGTCATTCATTTATTCCCAGTTAATCACATTGATAGACAACAGCTATTTATTTAGTCACAAATTCTGGTACTGCTCTTGGCTGAATCAGTAAATTGTTTTTATTACAATTTAATTATATTGATATAATCAAATGACGTCTGATCCAAATTCACATAAAGTAGGTAAGGATATCTGGACACTTACTGATCTAGAAGAAATAGTTGCTGCTATTGCTTCGCTTGGCGATCGTTATGAAGAACTAAATCACGAGACTTGGCGATTAAATGCTAATACAAAATTATCGACTTCACTTTGGGAGCAACTTATTAAAAAATTAGAACTTGATAATACTGAAAAAAGGTGCCACTCTTTGTACAATATATGGAGATCAACAGTTCATTGCGTTCCTGAACGTGTCAAAAAAGAATTAGGAAGAAGAAAGAAAAATATAATTGCTGGAGATAATGATAATATCAGTACAAAAGAAGAAGTATCTGTTCAAAAGACTAATAATGTACAATTACTACCTGATCCATCATTACCATTACCTGAACCGCCGAATACACGTACTTGTAAGGCAAAAACTGTAAATGGTAATATTGCTGAACAGTCAACCGTCAGTGTAGTATCATTTATTTTGACTGCAACGGAATGGAAAGCTGTACTTAGTTGCACAAAAAAAGAATTGCATGATGGTTGGACAAAAATATTTTCCGACAAACTAACTTCATGTGGAATTACATGTGCATTACAGTTCTTTAAAGCCCATATCAAAAAAGGAAAAAGAAAACGACGTTCTAAATATTTTTGGTGTCGTTCTAAGTGTACTGGTAAGTATTGTACTAGATCATATTTCATTAAACTTGCAGATAGCGTGGATTTCAACGCATCACCAATATTTCATGCACAAATCTAAGGTACAGAAAGACATGATGCTGAAATTGCAACAATGGAACGTCAACTATGGTCTTGTGATAAAATAGACCCCAGGAACCGATAGGGCTCGTCGAATTACACTTGGAAACCATGAGAATGAAATTGGAATCGGCTTGGAAGCGAATCGGCCAGGATATTTCTGGTAATTTTAGCATTTTTTGCAGGTTTTGGGACATTTTGCGAGTAAGGAAGGGTCTTGTGATAAAATAGACCACTGGAATCGATAGAGCTCGTCGAGTTACACTTGGAAACCTAATTGGTTTCATTGGAATCGGCTTAGGAGCGAATCGGGGATGATATTTCTCAATTTTTCGTGTTTTTTAGGCAGTTTTTTAGCGGTATTTTGGTTTTTTTGGGGGATAAGGAGGATGTAGAGGGGAACAGACCTCTGGAATTGATAGAGCTCATCGAGTTACACTGGGAAACCATGAGAACGAGATTGGAATCCATTCGGAATCGAATCGGGATAAGAAATACTCGAATCGGGTGATAAGATATCCTACGTATTTTTTATTTAATTTATTCTAATCTTCTATTTTCTATATAGAAATATACCGGAAAAAGTCGTTCAAGATCACGTACACCACCATATTGGCGTTCAACTGTTAAAGATCGTCAACGTCAACATATTCATAAAGAAAAAGATGATAATAATAGAGAAGATTTACATTCACATCGGCATGAACGGCGAAGAAATGATCACCATTATCATCATCAAACTGAATCAACATTACAACATAAACAGCAATCAAGATCTGCAACTACCATTAAACATAAGGAAAATGATACATCAAATACAGGGTGGCCCAAAAGTCATGTTACCCAAAAAAAATTAAATATCTTCCTTATGGCTCGAGCAAAGAAGCTGATTTTTTTATCAATGATAGAGGCATCCTCAGGCTTTATATCTATAAGAACAAGGTCAGGAAGAACCCATATTAAGTAGCACTAATGAACTCAACAAAGAAAATTTCACTTTTTCACAGATAGGAAAAACAATGTCCAGGGTAGGAAAATACAAGGTTCTTACAAAAATGATTCGTCTATCCCTCTTTGTAGAGCTATCTTCGCTGATCATTTTGGTAAAAACAAAATTCAAAGTTTACCAATNCACTTTTGCTTATAAACTCTTGATACAAGACTTTTGAATACATTTTTATTTTAAAACTTTATAATAACAAAGTTTTTTTCTTAAAACTCAATTGAATAATTCTTACTTCCACTTCAATTTATTCATATGCCACTAAATAATGAAGTTCTTTTTGCAAAATACTTTTTCTTATTCAACAAATTAATTTGAAGTTGTTTCATATTTAAAAATTTTACGTTTAAAATTGAAAAATTCCTCATTGCTTAATTCAAGATTTTAAAAAGTATTTTTCAATTTCGAATTGAAACACGAATTATATTAATTATTAGAAAAAAAACAACTGTTTCTTTTTCTCAACTTCACACGATATTTATATTTGATATGAATTGAAAGTTTAAAAAAAATATTTTCGAATTCCTCGAAAATAATTATTCAATTTTGTTCAAATTTTGAAATATTATCATAAAGTACGCCTAAATTAAATGGAATTTAGTTGTTTTAATATTCTGAGTGTGCTCACCTTGACTTTAATTAAGGTAAACTGAGACTTACATGATGTTTATCAAGAATTTTTCTGATTAAGTAAAATTCTAGAATAGAACAATCTATTGAAAAAGTATCTTACTTTATTAACTTTTAAGGCATCTCTCAAATGTTGCGCTCCTTGATCACCAATTTGATTACTATGTAAACACAACTCTTTCAGTGTCTATTATCCGTCACTATGTGATAATTCATTATCTATGACTATTAAATAGTATGAAAGCGATTCTTTGATGGCAAAAAAAAATGAAAACGCTTGAATTCATGTAATTACTAAAATAGATTTTCTTTTCTAGTTGTTAACTCCGAATTTCCAAATGAATGTTTTTCTAGAAAGAAATATTTGACTTATAGAATAGACTTTTGAAATCGAACATGTTAATTATTTATAATTCATCTTGATATCTAATTGAATACGCTATATGCATACACTACATATTTTTAAAAACTAATAGTTTTAAATTGAAAAAGAAGAAATATGGCAAAAAATATTCATATCTCATTCTTGATTGAATAGTTTTCGAAAATCCTTTTTTTGTTCATGAATGTTTTCATCCATTTTTCGAATTAAATCCAATTACATCTTAAATAAATCAAAAAATATTTGATTTAATTAGGTTTCTTTTTATGGTTTAAGTACATCGAACAGTTCTCAATAAAGAAACGCATCAAATATTTGATTACGACAAAATGTTAAAAATAGTTCGTTTGAATTTTTTTCATGAAAACAATTCGTATATGACAATTGCTATTGAAACAAAAGCATAGAATTGTTTTTGTGAATGAAAATAAAATTTGAATAAAACGATATTTTTCAAGATTGTTTCGCACAGAAATATTTGTAGAAGTCTTCGACATTTTTCGTCCAAAACCTCTTCTAGACTTTTGTTTGTAAAATACATTGACAATATTATTTCATTCGAACTATGATAGTCATTTATGATAAAAGAAAGTATATTCTGATTTCATTTATTTGACATTTTCCGATTATATAAAATGAGATAAAGAATTCTCAAGAGATTTTCAACATACATTGATGAAATATAGAATGACAATATTCGAAATAAATCACAAAAAATTTTCTGATCGAATAAATTTAACGTTTATTCCATTGACGATACTTCTGATTTACAATTCTATACGATTCTGTATAATAAATTTTAGTCTACTCATGTTGAATATAAAAAGAAACAAATTAGAAATTATTAATCTCAGATGATTATCTGTCTCATATTCATGTTCGATAAAATTTAATTCGGACAAATAGAACAATCGTAGATATATTTGAATAAAATCAAAGCGAGATTTTTCTAAAAACAAACAAACAAACAAGAACAAATTTAGAGAGAGAGATTTGTTTCATATTTAACTGGTGTTCATTTTGATTAGAACAATATTCTAAGAAGAATTTCAATGAGAAACTATCAAAAGATTTGAAAATTATTAAAATTACTCAATTTCTTTATCTTATTTGTCTTAAATTGTTGATCAATTTAATAACAGGAAAAAATACAGCACTAAGAAAAATAAAACTCTTTAACTGTTATATTTATCTTCTAAACTTTTTCAGTCATCTCAAATTGAAATATTTTATTTTCTACAAATCATGGAAAACAAAAAATAACGATTTTTCTATGATTAGTTATTCACATATATCTCATTCTTTTTTAACTTTCGATCAGAAGAATTTGAAAATATGAGATAATGTTGTTATGATAGGCATCGTTAATATTTTCATACTTCAAGTAAAATGGGGTGTGGGTGTGGGTGGATGCGTGTGTGTGTAGGTGTGAGTGTGACGGTGGGGTATGTGGATGTGTGGGCATCTGTCTTTTCTTCGCCTAAATCTGACCCCACAGTCAGCCACATTCACACCCACACCCACTCGAAACCATCCGGAAAAACTCTTTTGATTCTACGTAGCCAGAATTCATTACATACAGAATGTAATGCTGATTCCAAATATGTCTATTTTTTTTTCGAAAAGACAATTTAATTAACTCAACTTTCTTTTGACTCAGTTTTTCTTTCATTCGACTTACTCTCCACATTCTTTGACTTCTTTAACTTTTTCCTCGTTAGAACAACATAAAAGATCTAGTTCTCTCGGTTCCAGCAAGAAAATCAGAAAGAAAAATTTTCAAATCTCCTTTCCTTTTTTGGGGGGGGAAGAAAAGCGTTCACTTCACTTTCTTTTAGGAAAAGAAAGTAAAAACTGTCGTTTCCTTTCTTGAAATAAAGCGAAAGTGTCACATCTAGTTCACACCTTATCTTGATTTTACTTAGAAAAATTAAAGTGAAGTAGCTAAATTTACTTTATCCATTAAATTAAGTACATACACTTTAGCAAAAATTAAAGTAAAGTAAAGTTAATTACTTTATTTTGTTTTAACTTTTCAATGTAAAATAAAAAGTCAAGTGCTAGTCTTACATGAGATTACAATTGACTTGGATTTTTCAGTTTCAACTTCAAGAAAAGTTAACTACTGAGACCATTAAGCTGCGAGCACACTATAACACGAGCGATGAAATCAGACGAGTGTGGCCGCTTCGCGCCAGCTCCCCTCTCAGAATTTCGAAGCGGTGCGCCATCCAAATATGAGTCATACTTCCCATTGAGGAGCGGACGGATCGCGTGCGAGAGGTGGCCGCCTCGGCACTCGTCCTACGCCCTCGCGCAAGTGGTGCACGTCTCTGCAAATGTATATCAATGTTCAGTAAAATGAATGCCTTTATACAATGAATTCAGAGTATTTCGCAATAAATCTTAGGGGAAACCAGTCTGCCTTCATAAAGATCAACTAATTCTAAAAGAATGTCTTCTCACATCGATGCAATTTCCTTACATGAACCATCCCAACAGTAAACTGCGTCAATAAAGTCAACAGAATTCCATATATTTGTAATCCCAATAACTACATAAATCATCTTCTTCATGAAAGCCTTCAGCTAACACTTCCAGTTACCATTCAGAAAAATATTAAGCTCCCTTACCACAAACAAAAACACTTGCCAATTGTTCATCCTCGAGCAGTGCAACTCGTATCAACTAGAATTCAAATCTGGTATTCATATCAGCCATTTTTTCGAGTCAAAGAAACAAAATATCACTTACACTGACGAATACAAACGGCAGTATGTCGAAAATAGAAGTTACCCTCATGCTACATTGGTTGAAACAGTTTCGACGAAATACGGATATGGAATAAATATCGCGAAAAGAGACGTACACTATCTCTTTTCACTATAATGACATATGTAACACAACTCGAAAAAATGCAATGCTATGTTGTCATTCTTCAGCGATAGGGATACTAACACAGTATCTTCAATATCGAGCAAATCACATTGAAGATCGAAAGGATTTCCTGTCATTTCCAAACCAAAAAAGACATGACACAAAAACTAGTCACGGATTCAACCAGAAACTTTAGTTCTCCATTAAAATATCTTCCAAACCAAAGTTCACTATTTTCTTTGCCGTTGATTCCACTCTATCAGTCCCAACAGACGACGATCAAGCACGCATCCGACATAAGGTGACCGTACAATTCGTCGCACGACAATTTGTCGCGTTCTGTTCGTCGCAGAGCAATATCTTTCATTCTATTCATCCTTATCTAATCTATCCCTTCCTCTTAATTAATTCTTTTTTTCAGAAACGTGAAATTGACCAATTCATTCATCTTTAATTAGCGTGGTATATACATAGCATAAGGATGAACAAATTAAGAACAAAAAAAAAGAAAAAACAAAAAAAAAGAAAAAGAAAAACACAAATGAACGAATAATCTTAAGCGAACCAATTATCTGAACAGAAAAAAAAAATTAATTAAAGAAGAAAAAAAAACTTACCTACAGAGTAATATTGGCTGCCATATTTGTTAAGAATTGATCCAGTTGAGATGAATCGTAAGCATTGACCAGTCGAGTAATACGTTCGTCTAATCTTCGATAACATGCTTTCTTCGTCTTGATATCATGACCTTGAAGAATCTTCGCTATATCAACTTCGAATTTGGATTGTTCACGACGAATTTTCTCTGTTAACTTGATAACCGTTAGATGACTAATTGAGACACGATTGGCAAATGCATTGTGCCAGCCTTCCACCGAATTGTTTGAACGAGGTACAGCAGCGGCAACTCGATCATGAATATTTCATAATTTGTGATCAGAAGGAGGCTTCTTTCGACCAGTTCCTATGAATGGCAAATGCTTTCAATTTTTTTAAGAAACAAAAACAAAAATTACCTCTTCTTTTTGGTTCACCAATCCAAGTTTTTCCGAAATATTCAAGTAGATCATCGGCCTCTTCATCGAATTCATCGACAATTAAGTCAAATGCAGTTGTGATGTCATCTACTGGAAGAAAAGCAAGAGCAATCAACTTTTTTACTTTTAAACGAAAGGACTCATCTTCTCTATATTTTGTGGCCAATCCTTTGCTTTGAACTTGTCGCCATACCGCTTGTGAAAAATGAAAGAGACATCCTATAACAAATGTTTTACTGATTTTTTTTTCTGTGAATAGACTATAACATACCCTTGTGTAGAACGTTAGGTAACATCTCTTTGACTGATTTGATTGTGCCGCCTTCGTAATCAGTCATAATCGATTCAGGTTGAAAATTGTCTTGTTCGAATAATTTTTCAAAAAATTGATTGTAATCATCGCTGCTCTTACCAATTAACAATCCATAGACGAGAGGAATAATTGCATTCGTCATCATTGCGTGTAATGTAAAAAGTTGATAATAATCATCCGGACATACCTTCATCAAAGATAATTAGAAAACAGAGATAGACATTTAATTAATAGCTCACCTTAAATGTTCTGTCAGCGAACCAATGTTTTTTTTGTTTCAGAATTGATAAATTAGTTTTTGTTGTGAAGATAATTAAATGTTCATCTTGGTGTAAGATGAAATCTTCACCACGATATGTCTTCTTTAAATTTTCTGGTAAACGACCACCAGCATTGACTGTTTCAGCAGTTCTTTGTTGTTGGATTATGAGCATAAGTGTGTCAAATTTTGGAATTGCACCAGCAGCACTTAGAGGATATGTTCGTAAGGCCAAATGAAGAATTGAGCTGGTAGATTCATCTGTCGTTGCAGTGCGAGCTTTAATTTCGTTGTGTAATTGAATAGCCGGAATACGATCAAGTTGGAGAGCATGAGAATGTGATGTTGGTTGGGAAAGAAATGCGTTCATGGATAAATTGGTGTGACAACGCGCTTAATTGATGAATCATTCTTGTGCGAATTAATTAATTGATACCGTTCAAAGTGAACTTATCTTTACAATCACGATTTTGGCATCGAAAAATTAATTTTGTTGTTATGGTACGTTCTACAGTGTAGATATAACTGTCATAAAGAAGCATTGGTTTTCCTTTTTCAGTGATAAGCTTTTGCATTTGAGACATTTTCTAGAATTGCTGTGCGCAGTAAATTTTGAGATTGAGAAATGAGATATTTTTTCAACATCATCAAATTATATTTCTTTTTTCGACCACATAATTAAGAATATTGGATCAGAATTATCGTTGGTCTTGATTCTGTAGAAATTTATTCGTTGTCTGACAAATCTAATTATTCTGCGTTCGCATTTACTTTATTATGACTATACTTCGTTAACATTTTTTTCTTGATCCGCGTTCGCACTTAANAAGTGTAACGAAGTCTTTTGAAGTCTTTTGAAGACCCATGAAGTCATACGAAGTCTTATGAAGTCTTGCGAAGTCATTTGAAGTCCTATGACGTCTTCAGAAGTCTTTAGAAGTCTTCTGAAGTCTTGTGAAAATATGAAGTCACAGCGGCTGAAGTCTGTTGAAGTCTGTTGAAGTCTTTTGAAGTCTTGAAGTCTTGAAGTCCGCTGTTTCCCCCTTGATTTATATTTTATAGAGCTTGAATAATTTCGCTTGAAATAAAATGGAACATTCGAAAGAGATAAGAGACGCATTCTTAACTCATTAAAATAATTTTCATGGATCAGCCATATACTACAAGGGTGTGAGGTGTGGATCTAGATGTAAATATCCTGTTCTAGTTACCCACTTCGACACTCAAACCCACACCCAAATATTGTCATTGCCTTTTATTTTGGATCAATCGTTAGTAAGAACATATTTCATAACTCGAAAGTCTGCATTCGATCCATGTTGATAACATTACTTTGGATTCCTGCTATCCGGAGAGTTGAATCTCCATCAAAAAGACTATTTAAATCGCCAAGAGTACTAAGACGAAGTTTTCCCCACTCTTCAATCACAAACCTAGTGATCAGCACATCACGCCCTTGTTTTGCACGCACCACCTGCTCAGCGAGATGAGGATAGGCCTGAATATCTTGGTCGGAAAGCTCTTTAAGTCGATTGATTCGCACATGGGCAATCGACTCGACATAGCGAAGTGCTATGTTTGTTTGTTTAGGATCACCTTCCTCAGACGAAAACGTTGGGACGATCACTCTGTTTACATCCTGGTGCTGCATCTTAAGCAAATCATCCATTTCTGAGTCACCTGTTGGCAAAATACCCAGAGTCACATGTGTCTTGTAATCCACATTGGCTGTGTACCCAATGATAAGAGTCCATCCTTTGCCTTGGACCATTGCACCTGTAGGGTTTATGCTCATCTTTCCATCCAAGTGACGCTTACTAAGCTCTTTAGATAATTCCGACATCCATGCATGACCTAATTCATTTATTTTGTGCTTGAGATTGAGAACAAGTTCATCAAGCTGTCGACAGTTTACACGGATGGCCAAGTGCGTTGGCATGTCTTTGCCAATGATCAGCCATTCGTTGGTTGCCTGAACAGTTTTCTCACCAATGTGCTCCGTGACCTCTTGAATCTGATCTTGAAATTGTTCTTCAATATATTCTTGAAAGACTTTTAGAAGATTGGATGGAAGGGTTTTTGGGTCGTAATCCTTATTAAACACAATAAATACTTGAAAGATAGTCACGTGCATAATGTTGTTTCGTGTCCGGAGCAGCAATTTATCTGCTACCTTGTCACGCAGACGATGTACAATCTGGTCTTGCTCTATCAAAGCGATCATACCAAATCCGGGCCTTGTCATTTGTATAGCCGTGTTGTCGAATGATCGTGATATGCCATGCCAGTCTAGTTTATCTGTACTTGCCTTCGGAGATACGAACTGACTATCCTTCTGCATAATAAAATTCACGAACGAAGAACACTGGTGCTTAAGTAGTTTGTAGATAGTTCTTTGTGTCCGTTGTCGTAGAGAAATACTGCTATAAAAAGAAGAAATTATATACACGGTGGGCCATAAATTGCAAAAAAAAATAAAACATCTCCGGATTGGCTCAGTCAAATAGGCTGTTTTTTGGTTAGTGGTAGAAGCATACTTAAAGCCTTTTCTTTTATACTGATAGGTAAGTCAATCCGACTGTCAAGTATTATTGTTGTCATAAGGATAGAAATATTACCTGTTATCAAGTGAAAAAAAAGTACATGTATAGTGTTTCATAGATAATTTTCAGTAGTTATCGAAGAGAATAATACCAGCATGTCAAAGCAAGCTTTATGAATGATGCTGTATTGATGCACACGTAGAAAATTATGAAAACTGGTTGGTTTAAATGTCAACCATTTCAAATTTCGATTTTTCAAACATGAAACACTGATTTGTGCCGGAAAGTTGGCATTTTGGTAGTCAAAAAGCTACAATTGTGTTTTACCTGTTGGACACGAGTTTCAGCATTTAAGCTGACTAATTTTGAAGACTTGTGGTTGTGGGTGTGGATTAGCTCGTTGTCAGCTCACTTACGGTATTTTCTTCATACAACGACACATAATTCAAAGGAAGAAAAGGTGTATAGGGGAAGAACATGGTGAAAACAGCGTATGTGTGCAATGATAAGTGTATCGTTACGAAACTGACTATCTACATTATAAAGGTGTAATACTTCGTTATTGCACATAGACAAATGCAAGTTGGAAAAAACCAAGAAATTTTGTTGTTGATAAATACGTAGTTAAGCTTGTTGCGAACACCTATAAAATATAATTTATACATTTCACTGTCATTTTGTACGTGAGGAAACTTTATTTTCAACTTATTTAAGAAATATTGTATGCAATAATCAAGGAACTCTTAATAGCGTCATACTCTTTATAAAATTGAGCCTCCTCCTCGTCTCTTAGTATTGCACTGTAACTTTTAGATAAATTCTGCTTTCTTGATAATCAAGTTAATAAAAGCTCAAATATTTTCAAATAATTATTCATCGTCCAACGATTTTATAATTTTCAAAAAATTGCTTGACTTTCAAAAATAGAATTTCAATTCGAGTTTTTTGAACAAAATTATTTTCGAACGAATTGGAAGATCAGGAAAAATTTTTAATGGAGTCTATGGGGTTTTAGATTGTAAACTGAATTCTGCAGAAAAAAAGACTTTCGATTTTCTCGAATATGGGAGTTCGGGGGATCTAAGAAAGTAAGCCTCTTTCCGGACAGAACAATCAGAGAGAAAGGTCCTGTCTACAAAGAAAAAATATACCACGCATACCGCAAATCATAGGACAATGCCATTCTTACTTATCTTACCTAGAGTTTCGACTAAGTGATTATTACCCAATTACATGCATACTTCATCGCTCTACTTTCTGGGCGGAATGTCTCATAAAGGACAGGGGCGCATAAGAACATGATTTGGCCCATAGCACTTTTCAAACAGAACTCATCACAATCATACATAGGATGGAAGAACTTTTCACGGCGAATACTTTGATACTCGATTCGAGTTATACTTCCAGTATATTTGAGGATTTCCAAACCCATACATTCATTATTGGAACGATTCTTTGCGATCAACCTTTCAACTATAAAGTCAGGAGCAGTCAACTTTTATTATAGCCCATTAGAT